CCTCGGGGGCAGCGTCCATTTGCAACTTCCATTCTGCTGCAGATGCCATAATGGAGGATGAGGGTGTTAGCAAGTCTCTCAAGAGGGGTCCGTACTTCCTCACACTTTTGGGACAAACACTCCTCTTCCCTCTCCTCACTCCCTCAGAAGCAACTCTTAAAAGCTTCTCTTTTCTCTCTCTCTCTCTCTTGTTTGCGATCGTGTAGACGCATGCATTTAACGAACCAAGTCAAAGAAACAGCTTTGAAAACAATCAGAAGAGAAGGTAGAACTCCTAGCCGAAGCGGCAATTCATTTGGATTGGAGAGCAGTCGAACCAAAAAAAAGAAATAAAGATCAGAGAGATCTGATCCAGCCACACAGTCTAGACCGACTACATATGAGGTCCTCTCAAGCCTAGCCGGATTCAGCTCCGTGAAGACACAGCAAATCAGATTCAAGGTGTACAGCGAAATGCAAGAGAGAATTGAGTGGTGCCCGAGGTGCGAGTCAGGCGGCGGATTGTGCGGTAAAGTCTGATAAAACGTCTCAGCGGAGATCCCCTCCGCTGCGAGTCTCCTGGTCCGAAAGCATAAAGTCCGAGTCCCAATCAGATACAGCAAGGTAAATAACGTCAACAGATTTGGCCTGAGGGGCCTTTCTTGTTTGGGCCTGGTCCCACTGAGTCCCAAACGGTCCCAGTGGAGTCAGAACCGGGTCCCAACCAACAAGAGTTCCACAAAGACCTACTTTGTCCCTACCAAATTGAAAAATGAAATTTTGCCCCAGAAAGAACCTACAGACTACAACCGTTCAGAATGAAATAAACAAAGCATTGTAGAGAGATATAGCATGGCAAACAAGATACTCCATTCATTCACTCGTCAGGTGAGTAGGCAGTTCACACACCTCGCACACAATCAAGACTATGGAGGATGGAAGAAGAACCCAAAAAACCCCAACAGGCAGTCAATTCCATGCACACACACATGGGCACCCTGGCGGCACGACACTTACCTGAGTGGCCGGGCTCTTGAGATGAAAGAACTCACCCCCCTCTCACATAGTCCTCCCGACCCAATTAGCATCCTCTACACTAGTGTCCTATCATCTAGGAGGGTCAATATCTACCCCAAAGTACAAAGTCGGATCCCCCATCGATGTTGAAGATCAAAGCAGCAACTTGCAGTCCGTAGGTGCAGATATGGCTGCCACCCTCAAGCTCGCCTGCTTGAGGGGAGCCCTAAAGTCACTCCTCGTCTTCCTTGAATTCCATATTCAAGTTGTAGGTGCCCTTCACTGTCGCCTCTCTCAAGTTGCATCACGAAGTCCCACCTTGTGTCTCGCCACCACAAACATGCACTCAAACAACCCGACCGGGTCTAATATCGACCCTACACGGCCCTCCCAGGTGGGAGCAGCTTCCCTTCACCACGCCGCCCCACTTAACCCTAACTTCCAGCCCTAACCCTAAGTGGTTAGCCCTTACCACTAGGGTTAGGGTTATGGCAGCAAAGTCAACTCTCGCCAACAAGTAGAATCCGCTCTGATACCAATGTTACGATCCTGGCCAATTTCGAAGTATACATTCATCTGAAAGTACAATGCCATCCAATTGCAAAAACAAATGAATGAACTTGAGAGGAGAGAGAGGGAAAGAAGAAGAAGAAGAAG